AAAAAATTACTCTGAAAAACAGATACAAAAATAAATATTCAGAAAAACACAAATAATTACTCTGAAAAACAGAAAAAAAAAAAAATGACTCCAAAAAATAAAAGTTCAAGTATTTTGAAAGTATTAACCGGAAGTGTCGACATGCGGCTGCACCATTTGAGCCACAGTGCGCAGAAGCGGATGTCACGTGTTTGGCTCTTCGGGTCGCTGGTGGTTAAATCGGCTCAAACAAACACATGAGGAAGACTCTTAAACACATGAGGAAGACTCTTAAACACACGAGGAACACGCTTAACGCCTGAGGAAGACTGCGTAAGGTTACCAGCAGCGGCGGTGCAGCGGCAGCAGCGCAGTGTTTGAATCCCTCCGCAGGTTTCTGTCGGAGCGATCAGCGGAAGAAGGTAACGAGAGCTAACGCGTGCAGGCGCCATTGTTTATGAGCAGGCGGGCAGCGAGGCCTTCTAATAATTATACATTTATATAACCGTGTATTTATGTAAACCCTCCATATATCGTCTAGTGTGTGTTTTATTTTATTTGTGTCGCTATTTAACGGAGGTAAGTTACGTAGAAACGGTTCCGCGCTGTGATCCGGTTGTTACAGATGGCACATAAACTGTGTTAATGTTTAAACGGATTATTATTGCTGCTTAATGGAGAATATATTAACAGTTTGCACTTGAGACCTGTTGAGCCACCGTACCGGGACCTCCACCGGTGCTACGGGTACCGAGAGGGATTGGTTTCCTGCAGCTGTAGCGGAGTAACGTTACATATCGGAGTGCTGCAGAGATTCACTCACCTTTAAATCCGGGTCAAATGTAAGAAACCATGTGTGTTTGGTGGAGAGCCCAAATTTATAAATGAGCATTCCCACACGAATCCTTAATGAAGTCTCAATATGTGTGAAAATAACCTGAAAATAGTCTCAATATGTGTGAAAATAGTCTCAATATGTGTGAAAATAGTCTCAATATGAGAACAAAAGGATCTGACAAATACTGGAGGTTAAACTATCTCCCATCATCTTCAATTAGAATCTTAAATTATTTCCACCATCGATTTAAACTGCAGATTATCGATCAATACATTGTGAACCTGGTTAATAAAACGTCAGGAGATATAAAAAAAAAAAAACATAGATCCTTTTATTTAAGCGGTAAACGATTGACACACACCCAAATGGATATAATTATCACAATAGTTACTGACTGCAGATTAATTTTCTGTTTATGCTGATGCACATTTCCCCCGTCTCCCAACAGGCAAGAAGAAGAGATGTCGTACTACTCGTCGTCCCGCAGTTCGTCTCGGGCCACTGACTGTAAAGTGTACGTGGGTGATTTAGGCAACGGTGCCGCCAAGGGTGAGCTGGAGCGAGCGTTCAGTTATTACGGCCCGCTGAGAAGCGTCTGGGTGGCCAGGAACCCACCGGGGTTTGCCTTTGTAGAGTTCGAGGATCCCAGAGATGCAGAAGATGCTGTGAAGGGCATGGACGGGAAGTGAGTAGTGACGTACACCCGACGTTTGAGTTCTGCCTTCATAGTGGACAAAATAAAAAAATCTGGATTCTTTAAATCCTTGCAGCCCTGACCCGAACTGACCTTTCTTCTCCTCAGGGTTCTTTGTGGTTCCCGTGTTCGTGTGGAGATGTCGACAGGCCTCTCCAGGAAGGGCCGCGGGCGCCCTAGCCGACGCCAGTTTGACCCCAATGATCGGTGTTACCAGTGTGGGGACCGGGGCCACTATGCCTACGACTGCTACCGCTTTAGCAAGAGAGGAGGTCGTCGCAGCAGGTGAAGGAATACAGTCTTTGTCTCGTGGTCGTGGCTTTAGGATTTACACGTTAGATGTCGTCGTTCACTGCTCTGATGCAAACTGGACTTTCCATCTTGTACCATCGAAGCAGAAGACGGAGGGGAATAACCTGTCTTGTCTTTCCATCCCAGGTCTCGCTCTCGCTCTCGCTCCAGGTCAAGGTCCAGGTCCCGCGGACGCCGCTATCGCTCTCGCTCCCGCAGCCGTAGCCACAGCAGGTACGTCAGCACGAAAACACACATGCTCCTTACAGATAAAACAGGACGTTCTTGTTCTGGTGGGTTTACGATGCGGAGACACATTAGGGAGGCTGTCGTTAGTCGTGCAGATATTCAGGTGCCGTTTTAAAAGCATGACATCTTCGTAACGCCAGACGGTGATGATGTCGTCAGGGGTTTGGAGACATTGCTTGTAGCTCATATCAAAGTAATGTGATCAGTGGCTTTTGTCTTAAATCTTAGCTGCTTTGAGCAACACAAAACAAAAGCATTTGATATCATCACACCAAACTGTTGATTAATCACTTTGCAGATAAGAATGGTTTTGTCCCTTTTTTAAATTCTGGTTAAAACTAATTGTTGCCACTATAATAGATGTTGTTGCCGTAAATGAACCCGTGTAAAGAGTTGTTGATCTTGAATAATAAATGGTAAGCAGTTATCCAGATTGTGTTTATCCTTTTTGTGACTCTTGTACTTTCTCAGGAGCCGTCGCCGATCCCCATCCTATTCCAGACGCAGGAGCAGGTGAGAAAACATCTCGTTAATCTTTGACTAACTACTATGTTCGTACATTCCTCCTTATCTTTATTGATGGCGAGTTGCGTAACAGATGAAGCTGCTCGTCAGTGATGTGTTAATCCGGTTCTGCAGCGCAGTCTGACGTAGGGCGGAGCAGATAATTACTACCTCCTCCGGGTATACATTAAATCCATGTTCGTTCAGTGTTTGCAGCCTCACTGTGGATGTCTCAAGTGTTGCCATGGAAACCCTCCATAGCTGTAATTAAACGCACTCTATTTCCTGTCCCATTAGGTCTGGCTCCCCAGCTCGTTCCAAGTCCAGGACTCCAGTGAGAAGGTAGGTTGTGTGAGCTCCAGGTCTGTTGCAAACCCTTCTGTCCTGGTGACGTGGTTTTGGAGTGCGAGCGGTTCCCCGGTAGCTCACCTGGTAGAGCAGCCGAGATCTGGTGTTATCAGCGAAAATATACGTGACAATGACGGGCGACAATGTTAAGTGCTGTGAAGAGAATTGTTTCTTCTGCTCTGCTAACTTTTGGAAGTACGATGCTGAATTGTACGTCGGCTTGCTTGATGAGACAGTCAGCTCTCTAACATAAGAGGTGGGAGTTTGTGCGTCTGCTGCAACCTGCGATTACCCAGAACACCCTTCTCTGAGTGGGTTTGCAAAGATGTTTACTTGTATTTTTGCAGAGGCATAACTCCAGCTTTAGCTTTCGATAGTGTGTCATGTAAATGTTGTTGTTTTTTTCTTTTCTCC